ATCCCACTAAAATTATCATTTGGAGGAACAACAAAAACCACGTTGTCGAGGAACCAGAGGACGGAATGCGCCTCCTGAGAGAATGGGGACTTTTCCAGTCGCCGGACCAGCAAGCGCAAGCTCCGAAACCGCAAAGGAAAATCACAACCGAGTGGCACATGGCGGGATCGCCAAGAAGAGACAAATGAACTCTCCTCACACAACCCTCTGCCCCTCCACGAAACTGACCGCCTGCCAAGACGGAAAGAAAATGGACGCTGAAGAAGACCATAACGCTGCGTAATGTATATGGCTCCAATTCATAATTGTTTCAAGGCACTTATGTTTAGTGAGTCTCACAGCTGATGGGAGGGAGGGCTCACAAAGGGCACACAAAAACAAAACAGAAAAAAAAAAAATAAAAAAAATAAATAAATAAATAAAACAAACAAAAAAAAAGTACACATAACTACTTAATTGAGAGGGCGGGATGCTCTCATATAACAGTAACGTATACAAGGCTGTCTGTATAATGTAAGCTATGTACGATCGCACACTTAAGGGGTCCCGGTTCTGGCCGAACCACGAAGGTTATCTTTAATCCCCCTGTTGGGCTTGCCTCCCAAGCATTTCGCAGGGAGGTCGCCCCAATCACACTGACATCCCTATCTAGTAGGGAAATTATGTATATACTTTATTTGTTTTCTATGTTTATGTATATGTTTATTATGTTATCTGGAATCACTGTACTGAACTATGATCCACAGGACCACACTACCCGTCAGGAGGGAGCAGAGTTAGAGAGGGGAGGGAGACCCCAGAGCACTAGCACACTACTGCAGGACACCTATTCACCCCTAATGTCAAAGCGAATCCCACTAGGGACCTCCAATACAGTGGACACACACAAATCTAGCCATGGGGACACCTAATACTATGACCTTTTTCTCCCTGAACGTGAAAGGCCTTAATAGCCCCCATAAAAGGAGGTTGGCGGCACGCGACATCCAAACCTCTGGGGCAGCCATAGCCTGTCTGCAAGAGACACACTTCTGCACTCGCAACCCCCCAAGATTTGTAGTCCGGCACTATTCCCAAGCATATCATGCACACTCCCCAACAAAATCAAAAGGGGTTTCCATATACTTTCACGACGACTGGGCGTTCACACCAAACCACCAACATACAGGACGAGACGGCCGGCTACTTATTTTAGTTGGCACACTAAATGGCATACTAATAACGATTGCTTCACTATACGCCCCCAACGAAAACCAAACAGCATTTCTCACAAAAGCATTAAAACAGGTAGCGAAACATAAGAAAGGACATGTCATTATATGTGGAGACTTCAATTGTACTCCGGATCCCCACCTAGACATTCAACGCACACAGAACAGAGGTCCAAAAGGGGCATCACTTACACTGGGGCGACACCTAAGTCGACTACTATTTACACAAGACCTATACAACTCATGGCGCTGTCTCTATCCGAGAACCAAAGATTACACATATTACTCCCCGGTGCACAGGACACACTCCAGGATAGATCTATGCATCACGGATAAAACCACACTGACACACATCATGGCAGTCGCAATAGGCCCTATCACATGGTCCGACCACGCGCCGCTCACGGTGACCCTTCGGGTTCCGTACCCGGCCCGTGGCACAGGATCCTGGCGCCTCAATGAGGTTCTTCTGGACCGCCCCAACACCTACTCATCCATCCTAACCCAACTAACTGACTTCTTTTCACTACACGAATCCTGCACCACGCCCATCACAATTCAATGGCTAGCACACAAGGCAGTTATGCGAGGAGCTCTGATACAGGCGGGAGCCAGGGCGAAAAAACAACACAACACAGCGAAGGATGAAATCCTCGCAAAACTCGCCGCATTAGAGTCCCAACACAAAACCTCACCTCATAAAACGACACACAAGCAGATACAACGACTCAGAACTGACTTACATAACCTTGAAATCGCCACAACAGAGAAGCATTTGCGCTACCTAAAACAATACCACTACACTACGGGAAACAAGGCAGGCAAAGCACTTGCTAGGAAACTGAAGCAGCAATACTTACACACGAAAATACCGTACATACTTTCCAAAACGGGGGACAAACTATACAACCCACACCATATTGTGGAGGAATTGGCCTCCTTCTATGCCTCCCTATACCAGCTTGACAGGGACCCCCAAACTCACCAACCGTCTGAAGAAGAAATCACCCGCTTTCTGAACACTACACACATCCCATCCATAACCAGACCACAACAGGAGCTATTAGAAGCCCCGTTCACTTGCGAAGAAGTGGCCAACACGATAGCCAGCTTATCTAAACACAAATCGCCTGGCCCGGATGGGCTATCCAACTACTACTATCACAAACTAGGCACCACACTACTTCCGCACATCACCAAACTCTTCAATTATATCAAACAAACTGGGCAAATCCCTAGGGAAATGCTGGAAGCGTTTATAGTCACCCTACCCAAACCAAACAAATCCCCGACGATCTGCGCGAACCTAAGGCCTATTTCCTTACTCAATGCAGATATCAAGCTGTATGCTAAACTGCTTGCAAACAGACTTAAACCCTTGTTCCCGACTCTGATCTCCGAGGAACAGGCAGGATTTGTCCCAGGCAAGCAAGTAGGAGACAATACTAGACACTTCATCAACCTCATAGAATGGGCCCACTCCACACAGCAAGGGGGAATCCTTTTAGCGCTCGACGCTGAAAAAGCGTTCGATCGTCTGAACTGGAAGTATATGACATTAACACTCGCCCGAATGGGCATCCCCCAAGTGTTCTTGGCCAGCATTTTAGCTCTGTACCAAGAACCCTCAGCTAAAATTTTTAGCACCGGCTTTCTATCGACCCCACTAGACATCCGAAACGGCACACGACAGGGCTGCCCTCTTTCCCCGCTCATATTTATCCTTTGCCTAGAGCCCCTCATAAGGCATATAAAACAATCAAGAGGAATCCAGGGCATAGCTACTCCGCGAGGCGAACAGAAACTGGCATTGTTTGCCGACGATATCCTCCTGTACCTCACAAAGCCGGAGCACTCTATACCACAGTTGCAAAAAATTCTTGACACATACAGCGCAGTATCCTTCTACAAAAACAATACCGCAAAAACACAAGCTATCCCAATACTACTACCACACACCCTTACGACAAAACTTGAGCGCACATACACGTTCGACTGGAGGAAAAAGTCACTCTCCTATCTAGGGATCAAACTTACTAAATCAACACATACACTGATAAAAGAAAACCACATTCCCCTGATACACAAACTTGTAACACAGGTAACAAAATGGGAAGACCTAGAGATTTCCTGGCTAGGACGCATCAACACGGTTAAGATGATGGTTCTTCTGCACATACTCTACCTGTTCAGAACTATCCCAATATCCCTGCCAGTCCGCCTCCTTAAAAGACTCCAATCTGTTATAAACGCGCACGTCTGGAAACGGAAACCCCCACGAATTAGAAATAAAACTTTGGGCCTCCACTTCACTAGAGGAGGGCTGGGCCTCCCTGATGTACAGTTCTATTATCAAGCCTCCCTATTAGCCCAAGGCTTAAGACTTCTCAGAGCTTCCGAGGAAACACCAACCCCAATCTGGCTCTCCTTTGAGGACGCCTGTATCCACCCGGCATGAATAACCCAAGCTCTGTGGGTAGGCGCCCCAACCCTTACCAAAAAACCGACCTTACAATGCACAAGGACACTTCTACAGGCCTGGAGAAATTGGGCCTCGAATATACTAGACCCAAGGGAACTGTTAAGGTTGTCCCCTATCACAGCGCAACAAATCCACTCCCTGAACCTAGAAGTCCATAAGTGGCTGGCAAAAGGTGTCCTGAGGGTGGAAAACATTCTTGACAAGACCGCAGTAAAACCGTTCCCAACTCTACAGGCAGAATTCTCCCTCCCCCCCGAGACTTGTTCCTATACTTAAGGGTCAAGAACATCTTACAGACCAACTTACAAGCCACAGAGCCCACACAGAGGCTTACAGCTCACAACACACAACACCTGTTGACTGCTCGCCACATCAAGCCCCTGGCACTATGCTACAATGCCCTCTGGGAAGCGGCTACCCCACTTAAACTTCATTACATGACTCAATGGGAAAGAGATATCGGTAGGGAATTCGCGATACAACAATGGCACAAGGCCATAGCTAACACCAAGAAGGCATCTAGTAGCATCTCCATGTGGGAAGCATACAGCAAAATCACAATGAGATGGTACATGGTGCCACATAGATTAGCCAAAATGTACAGTACAGTCTCCTCTTTATGCTGGAGGTGCGAAAAAGCCCAGGGTACACTGATCCATGTCTTCTGGGAATGCCAAGACATTCAGCCTCTGTGGCTAAGTGTACAAACACTGGTAAACAAACTAACCCTATTTACCATACCATTGACGCCTGAAAGTTACTTACTACATATGTTGCCAATGTTACATCAGAAGCACCACACCCCACTAATTGTAAACCTTCTCACAGTCACTAAAATGGCTATAGCATATCATTGGTAGGACAAAGCTATCCCCTCGATAGAAGAGATCTCAAAGAGATTAGATAAAGTCTGTCTATACGAAAACATGGCTATGGGTCTGAAGGGGAAAGCACAACAACATGAGGTGGTGTGGCAGGACTGGCTCACATACCGAAGGACGAGCACTACATAACGGGCCAGGCCCGATAACAATGATGACAGCAATAATAAAAATAACGACACAAAACCGAGGAGAGCATAGCCACTGTAGTTCCCAATGCATTTCTCAATGGTCCTAGCTCGAGATCAAGCTCAAGTTCCAGTACAAGTTTCTGTTAAGTTGAGTTCACTCCCTACCCTAAGTCCCCCCATACTCCACACACGTTG